GGGGAGCAGAACAGGCAGATGGACGAAGTACACTGCTGAGGGGAGCAGCGGGCGGGTCAGCAGAGGTCTGCCGCGCCATGTGGTCACCTCCCGGGCAGGAGGGGATCGAACTCATGCGGAAGTGGCTTTAGTTTCTCAGTGCAGTGCTTTAACCCGCTGCGCCACCAGGGAGGGCCTGTGATATAATTGACATAGCATTATATTATTTTTACGTATACAACACAGCGATTTGACATATGTATACACTAGGAAATAATCACCATAATATATTTAGTTAACATCCATCACTATACATATTTATAATTTTTTTCTTATAATGAAAACTTTTAACATATACCATCTTAGCAACTTTTCTATATGTAATACAGTATTATAAACTATAGCCACTTTGTTGTAGATTATATAACCTTGCTTTTTAATTAAAAATTTTTATATATATTTTACATTGTTAAATCTTTATGGAAAAACAAAATGCACAAATACCACAAGAAGCTTCTTCCAACATATGAGAAATATCTTAGGAATGCTTGTAGGGTATAAATGAATGAACTCGGCTTGTGAATGTTCTGAGATAAACTCTTTTCCAAGAAACATAAAATTATTTTTAAGTCAAATATTTATTGTTAAGTTAGAGAAAACTAATTATTTTAAAGATTTATATATGTATTCATATGGAACTGGGGTACAAGCCAGAGATGTGGAGGGTGAGAGGATTCACCAGAGACAGAGAGGGGAGCAGAACAGGCAGATGGATGAAGTACACTGCTGAGGGGAGCAGCGGGCAGGCCAGGAGAGGTCTGCCTTGCCATGTGGATCTCCTCCAGGGCAGGCAGGAATCGAACTCCTGCAGAAGGAGGCTTTAGCTTCTTAGTGCTGTGCTTTAACCTGCTCTGCCAACAGGGAGGACCTGAGAAAACTATTTTCATGAAGAAAGTTATTAAGAAAATAATATCAAAATTCTTTGGGAAATTAATTTGTCATTATTAGAAAACTTTATTCAGAATTTCTAGGACGATTTCTTGCCTATTTAAATTAGAAAAAGTCCTGGCATAAGCTTTTATCTAAGTTAGGTCAGTCATCTGTGAAAATGGTTAATGAGATTTTCCTATAAAGCTTTGCCAAACGTTTTTGGAAATATCGTTTTTATTTTCTCTGAAAAAATATTTTTTTTTACTTAATAGTTTTATTTGGATATAATTCATCTACTGTAATTTATCTAGTGTACAGTATAGTTGTTTTTAGGATATTCACAGAATTGTGCAACTAACACTGCTTTCTAATTCTAGAATATTTTTATTGTTCATCAAAGAAACTCTTGTTAATTACTAATCACACCTTTCTTGCCTACCTCCACACTACTTCCAGCCTTTCTGTCTCCATAGATTTGCCTCTTGTGAACATTTTACATACGCTGGTTCATAGACTAGATGATCTTTTGTTTTTGGCATTCCATTACTTAGTGTGATGTTTTCTGAAGCCTTTTTAAAAAGAATTTTTTAAGAAGATTTATTTATTTATGCATAAAAGAACTGGGGTACAGGCCAAAGGTGTGGGGGTGAGATGATTCTCCAGAGATAAAGCAGGGAATAGGCGTATCTACTGAAATACACTACTGAGGGAAGCAGAGGGTAACACAGGAGAGGACTAGCTTGTGGTTCACCCCACTGGCCGGGGATTGAACTTGTGCTGCAGTGGCTGTGGTTAGCTTCATAGTGCTGTGCTTTAGCCCCTTTTGCCACCAGGGAGGCCCCTATTTTCTGAAGGCTTTTTAATATTAGGTATCACCACACAGACTACTTTTCAATTCTCCCATCTGTTAAGGAGACTGTCATTTAAGAGCAAGTTTTAGCTGTTTTTCTTAGAATTACCACTCTGAAATGTGCATCTCTGTGCTAAATATTTAAGCTGTAGGAAGCTCTTTAAAAAGGAAATTTTATTTCTGTAATTCATTTACCTTTAGTCATATTTTATATGGAAGTTTGGAAAGTCTTTTTATACCCACCTCTATAACTTAATAGCAGTTAGCAATACAAAATGCCAGTTTTAATAACACTCAAAGTAACAAGAGTGAACATTTAGAATAATCATAATCTGGAAATATATTTTAAAGTTCCTATTTCTTGAATTATCTTACTTTCTCTGGGGAAATAATTTCCTCTGTTTATCTTAGACTTTCATTTTTCTCAAATTTGAAAGTTTAGGTAGTGCATGTGGGTTTGCCATGTTGTTTTGTTTGTTTGTTCCATGGATAGGTGAACAGAAGCTGACCGGCTCGGTTTACTTCTTTGAGGTGTGTTGATTGGCAGACTTTATTTAAGATGGCCTGGAAATAGTCTGGGGGACCATGCACCTGAACACAGCATGAAGAGGGCCTTACTCTGCGACTGCCATCACTCACCCTAAATAACTTACTCCCCTAGAAAGTTCAAATAATTTTTGAAGAGATGTATACTCTGGTTGAAAATGTGTTTTTCTGCAAGATGGCTTCCTATTCAGAGGTGGAAGGGAGAAATTGGGAGTAGAATTACCTGTGGGACTGGTACTGTTGTTTGGACACAGGCTTTCATCCAACCTCGCATTTTCAACCCCTTATTTTCTTTTATTTTATTTTTTAATTCCTATAAGTAAGAAAGCTGAGAACGGGCTGGGTCCAAGGAAGGGTACATGCAGCACGTAGCCCTCAGCAGCAGTGATACAGCTGGCTGTGCCCCGCGCTCAGGTTGTCATGGTGGTGTTGCCAACCTACCACCCCTCTCCCTGAGTTCGTACGTAATCATACACACACACACACACACACACACACATATTTTATTTTTCCATTGTTTTGTGCATTTTTCCATCTCAGTTGCAATCCCCTTGGGCTTCCCATCACCAACTCACCCATGTGCCATCACCATTGTCCAGTGCATTTCCCTCCCCCCACTGTTATTTGATCCCATTCCCCACTCCACCCCCACAAAATGTCTCTGGTATATAGC